TTAACATCCAATAATCATCATTTTGCACTTCACTTTCATACCTTTGATTAATAATGAGCAAAAGAAAAAGCAAGCAAAAGTTGAAATGAGAAACAAACTTGCATTAAAAATCATTTAAACAAGGAAACAATCCAATTTAGCCGCAAGTTACAAATAAACAACAGCCAACAATCAGCTAAATAATATCATCAACCATCATGTTATTGTAATAATAGGAAAAAACAGAGAGAAAAAAAATCTCTTTGCATTTCAGGTCAATAGGTCACTCTTGGTACTTGCTTTATTTGATTTAATGAAACAAAAAAAAGATAAAAAAATATCACAAAAAATGAAATCAAGTTTCACCTTGTAACTCTCACTCTCATCATAATCATCATCACTGGTAAATACCCTGTAATCACAAATTATTTTCAAATGGTAGTTGCTATGACCGGTTAAAGCCGGTCTTTTATTTATCTTCAGGCATTTTACCTAGTGACCGGTCAGGTTTGTATCCAGGTAAAGGTAAAACAGGAAAATAGCCAGCAATCCTGGTTCCAGTAAACAAGTAGCTGCTATTTTGGAAGTAATTTCAATCATAAACATGAAAACATATGAAACATTTTAACCAAAGAAAAGTCACAGCAAAGGCTCATAAGACATCAACCTTTCAACCTAACAGAGTGCCACTTGTCCCATCAAGTTTAACATAAAGTCAGGCCTTTTCACGAGCAAATATTCATTTACTTTTGGCTAACCTTTAAACCAAAAAAGTCAATCTGGTTAGGCTATTAGACTTGATACTTTCAACCTAACAGCATCTTATCTGTCCCATCAAGTTGAATATAAAGTCAAGCCTTTTACGGACTTTTACTTTTGATCAATCTTTGAACAAAAAGTCAGTCTGGTTAGGGTATTAGACTTGACACTTGCATCCTAACAAGTTAACCTTGTCCGATCAGAATTAGCTTATGATGAGGCTTGTCAAAAATGAATTTATTTTTATCGCTATTTTTCTGCAGCATTTTCCATCATCATTCTTCATCAACATCATTATTTTTTCATCCTTTTCCTTTTGGTAGGTTCAATGTTTCACCTGAACTTAGCAACGGAAAAGGGTTTTTTTCTGTTGTTCATCTTCTGAATTTTTTCATTTACTTTCATCTTTTCAAGGCTAAGCCAACAACTTTTTTCTGCTTACTTTCTCCTGTAATGTTGTCAATAAACATGAAAAAGGGTTTCAATCAAGGTTATTATTGTTATTTAAATTTAATCAGTTCATGAAAATGATTATCTAGAAATGATACAAGAAAATTGTGAATGTTGAGTGGTTATCAAAAGAAAATATTGACTCAAATAACTGTTAATTAGCTGAATACAGCGTATTTTTTAAGATCAATTGTTTCATCAATTGTTGACCCGCAATAAATGAGACGGTAAATTGTAAAACGGAACCATTTCAAGTTTGAAATTATGAGTTCAGTTAGCAATGAAAAAAAAGTGAAATGAGTTTTTGTCAAAAAGAGACAAAAACAAAACTGGTTTAAAAGGCAACTACAATATCATTTGATTATCTAATAATGAATCAAGTGTAATTGGACAAGGACGATCAAGCCTTAAAAACTTCCGGTCAAGATGGGTTAATTGAAGAGCATAAATGATCAAATTAAAAGCATATAATTCAAAGTCCAAAAAGCAAGAGCAAAAATAATTCAGCTTCTTGCAGAATCATCAAATTCATAGCAGATGAAATCAAAAAAGCTTCAACTAAATGTTACAAATGCAAGCTTATTTCATGTTGAATCAATTGATTGATGTTAACAATGAATGTTTAATCATTTTCAATTTACAATATTTAAATGAAACTGAGAATCAAGTCAGTTAGTAATGACTGAACCTTTAGAGTTGAGCATTTGCCGGCAAAGTATCTCACAATCTTGTTTAGTCTTGAAGTTGTTGGAAATGTCTTCACATCCAGTAAAGTTGAAAGGCAAGCAAAGTTGAGATTGATTATCATAATACCAGCGTCTGATTGGCTCAGCAAGCATTCCTGTTAAACATGGTTCACTTCGAAGAGGAGCGAGGCAAATATCTGACAATCAAATGAAGACAAAAAGGATTGATGATTGAGTGATAAACAATTGATTAATTAGCCTTACCTGTTGGTCTTGGTCTTGTCTCTTCACTGGTTGGAGTGCAATCTTTAACTCCCATATTACAGTTGGTTTCTTGGTGCAACTCTTTTGAACAAAATTCAGCTGCTCGAGCACTCACGTAGAATCGTTTACGATACTTTGTACCAAGACCACAGTTGACTGAACACGGACTCCATTCACTCCAAGGTGTTGTTATACATCTTGGATCCTCGGGCGCAGAACCAAGTGCTTCTTTAGTTGAACAATCGTCACTCCATTCATGGCACTCTTCTGATTCAACCAACATGGACGAATCACAGTAGCTGCCTGCTTCATGATGGATGAAGTAACGACGACGATTCCGTTTACCTCGACCACAGGTTGTATCACACCTGCTCCACGGTCCCCATTCAGATAGAGCACAGATATTTTCACCATTACAGCCAGGCATGCAAGGAATTTTATCTGTCAATACATTCTGACATCCCATGGAAGCTGCAGAAACTGGATTAATGTATGAACGGTTCCGGATTTGCTCACCAGATTCATAGGGTTCACCAATGCAAGTCATCAGTGCCCATGGAGTAACTGAACATTCAGCTAATGGAATAGAAATTGAAGATTAAAACTAGGCTAATTATCTGATTTAAATATACAATGAAACTTCATTTTCTAACTCGGAAAATAGCAAACAAAAATAACTCAACTTTCACTCAACAGTTACCATTCAATAGTTAATTCACATGATTATCATTGAGTAAAAGATGAAGAATATTTTTGAATGCCATTTTAAGGAAATGAATTGGGTTGAACTTACGTCTGTTATCGGTTATCAAAGGTTCCTCAGTGTCTCCTGAATAATTGTGACTGAACTTGTTGTTGTTTTTCACAATTTCATCACAAGTTCTTGGATAAGTTCGCAATCGTTTAACCGTTACTTGAGCAAATGGTTTAATTTTAGCTCCGGTTGGATCGTAAAAAGGCGATTTTCCCTCTTCTCCAGGCCACGAAGAAGTAATGGCATGAATCCTTTCTGGTGGCATTGTTGGTCTAGGATTAGATTGATAAGAGTCTCCTGAAGCAGTACCAGCATCCCATAGATAGAGGTTCATAGTTCGCTCAGTTAACCATGAACTGTTCCTTAAACACAATTCAAAAGCTGAAACGCCAACAAACCAATCAGGACTTGGACCAAGTTTAGATATAAAAGACAATAAATGGTTTTCTCGATCAACTCTGAAAATGGCAAATGTTTGACCTCGATGATCATTTAGACCAAGAGCACGGCCTTTTATAATTGTCCTGAAGAAACACATTGACCATCGGAATAAGAGAGAAAAAATAAGAAAAAAAAGATTTCAAAGTGAACTTAAAAGTAAAAATTATTAAAACGAACCTCATTTGTGAAGCACTCTCACGAATCTCGGCTTTCAATAACTCAGTGTTGCCGTCTTCGGCCAATGTTTCAACCCTTTAGATGCATAACCATCATATTCCCACATGCGATATTCATTTGAATGAGAAGCACCAATTAAACTTGAAAAATAAGACAACCATTTGTCGGGAATATTCTTGGGGTGAGTAAATTTTGACCAAAGTATCTTAAACAACAATTGATATTTGGCTTCATCACAAGCATCACATTGTCCCAATATTTCAGGTTGCTCATCAATTGACAACGATGTGTCGGGACACAAACGTCTAGTCAACTCACCATCATCCATGAACCAAATATCAGGTGTAACAGCAATCGATGCTCTGATAAGAATAGATTGATTAATTGATTAAAATCAATGTTTCTTTACAAATGCCTACTTGATTAAAACGCAGCCTGAGCCTGATGGAGGTGCTCGCCAACTGACCCGCACATTTAATTTTGTAATGTTGGCTGAATGCATAACTGAATTGGGACAATCATCGGAATAGCGAGTTGTTGCATCTTGATATAACTTGAGAAAAGGTAAAAGAAAAAAAGGAAAATTAGAAAAGCAATGATGCGGATAAAATTCCTTGAGTTACCATGAATCGACCAACATCATCTCTTAACGTTGGATTAATTATATCAGCATCAGGGTCAGTTGGAGGGCCACCATTTTCAAGAACCATTTGAAACAAGGTAAACTGTTGAGAACCAGCAAGTTTAACTGAGGAAAGTAAAAGGAAAAAAATTCTTTGTCCATCAAAATATGTTTCTGATTTAAGTTGATCACATTTACATAATCACACTGGCCCACTAATTGCACGGAGTCTACACGAGTTTAAC